CTCAGTATAAACAGGGCCTCAGAGTAAAGATGTATGTTTACAAGCACTGACCCCGTCCTCAGTCCTGGTTTAGTCCTGGTTTAGTCCTGGTTTAGTCCTGGTTTAGTCCTGGTTTAGTTGTTTTCGAGCGTGAGTCCCCGCGATCACTTTGCTGCTCTCTGATGTGGAGGATGTTCGCTGCTGCGAGCATCTCACAGCGAACAGTTTTTAAGGTAGTATGATCCATGCTTCAGTGATCAGAGGAATTTAGGGGGGTACTGTGGCGTGCGAGAACGCAAAACTCCTATTATCTCTGTCTACACACAAATGCATTAACGGAGTTTTCAAAAATCTCCACTTTGCCCGGAGTTTTTTGTATATATTAGTTTAGAATGTGTAATTTTTTATTTATTTAATGCGATCTACCAATACTACCTTTGCGATCGACTGGTAGATCGCGATCGACGTATTGAGCACCCCTGGTCTAAACAGTGTGTGTAGTCTAAACAGTGTGTGTAGTCTGAACAGTGTGTAGTCTGAACAGTGTGTAGTCTGAACAGTGTGTGTAGTCTGAACAGTGTGTATAGTCTGAACAGTGTGTATAGTCTGAACAGTGTGTGTAGTCTAAACAGTGTGTGTAGTCTAAACAGTGTGTGTAGTCTGAACAGTGTGTAGTCTGAACAGTGTGTAGTCTGAACAGTGTGTGTAGTCTAAACAGTGTATAGTCTAAACAGTGTGTGTAGTCTGAACAGTGTGTATAGTCTGAACAGTGTGTGTAGTCTGAACAGTGTGTATAGTCTGAACAGTGTGTATAGTCTGAACAGTGTGTGTAGTCTAAACAGTGTGTGTAGTCTAAACAGTGTGTGTAGTCTGAACAGTGTGTAGTCTGAACAGTGTGTAGTCTGAACAGTGTGTGTAGTCTAAACAGTGTATAGTCTAAACAGTGTGTGTAGTCTGAACAGTGTGTATAGTCTGAACAGTGTGTGTAGTCTGAACAGTGTGTGTAGTCTGAACAGTGTGTGTAGTCTGAACAGTGTGTATAGTCTGAACAGTGTGTATAGTCTGAACAGTGTGTGTAGTCTGAACAGTGTGTGTAGTCTAAACAGTGTGTGTAGTCTGAACAGTGTGTATAGTCTGAACAGTGTGTATAGTCTAAACAGTGTGTGTAGTCTGAACAGTGTATAGTCTAAACAGTGTGTGTAGTCTGAACAGTGTGTGTAGTCTGAACAGTGTGTGTAGTCTGAACAGTGTATAGTCTAAACAGTGTGTGTAGTCTGAACAGTGTATAGTCTAAACAGTGTGTGTAGTCTGAACAGTGTGTGTAGTCTGAACAGTGTATAGTCTAAACAGTGTGTGTAGTCTGAACAGTGTATAGTCTAAACAGTGTGTGTATTCTGAACAGTGTGTATTAAAATGCCTGTGTTTGTGTGTCTCTCACTAATGCACCCGGCACTTCACGTCTGGCTCCACATTAACATAGAAATGAGATTCATGCTCAAGTCCTTCCAACCAGATTACACCGTTCCAAACCGCGTCCGGGTGTTCTGTGACGAGACGCTGCTTTTTCTGAACAACTTTGAAGTTTTCTTAATCTTATCTTCAGCCGAAGGACGGAGCTTTAATACTGTCCCAGTTTAACACAGCAAATGTTAACAATGCCTCGGGTCATGTACGGCTGCGGTTCACAACCTCTGTGGCTGCAAATATCAACATCTGTGGCTGCAAATATCAACCTCTGTGGCTGCGAATATCAACCTCTGTGGCTGCGAATATCAACCTCTGTGGCTGCGAATATCAACCTCTGTGGCTGCGAATATCAACCTCTGTGGCTGCAAATATCAACCTCTGTGGCTGCAAATATCAACCTCTGTGGCTGCGAATATCAACCTCTGTGGCTGCAAATATCAACCTCTGTGGCTGCAAATATCAACCTCTGTGGCTGCGAATATCAACCTCTGTGGCTGCGAATATCAACCTCTGTGGCTGCGAATATCAAACTCTGTGGCTGCAAATATCAACCTCTGTGGCTGCAAATATCAACCTCTGTGGCTGCAAATATCAACCTCTGTGGCTGCAAATATCAACCTCTGTGGCTGCGAATATCAACCTCTGTGGCTGCGAATATCAACCTCTGTGGCTGCGAATATCAACCTCTGTGGCTGCGAATATCAACCTCTGTGGCTGCGAATATCAACCTCTGTGGCTGCGAATATCAACCTCTGTGGCTGCGAATATCAACCTCTGTGGCTGCGAATATCAACCTCTGTGGCTGCGAATATCAACCTCTGTGGCTGCGAATATCAACCTCTGTGGCTGCGAATATCAACATCTGTGGCTGCGAATATCAACCTCTGTGGCTGTGAATATCAACCTCTGGCTGCGAATATCAACCTCTGTGGCTGCAAATATCAACCTCTGTGGCTGTGAATATCAACCTCTGGCTGCGAATATCAACCTCTGTGGCTGCAAATATCAACCAGCATAAGCAGCATTTGCAGTCCACCTACACCCACACTATCCTACACCCACACTATCCTACACCCACACTATCCTACACCCACACTATCCTACACCCACACTATCCTACACTACTACTAAGATACTTTGTTAGTTCCAGCTTGGTCCTGGTTCTATCCAGGCCTGGTACTGAAGTGTTCCAATGACAGTGGCTGTATAGCTGCTGGAAGACATTGGTTTGTTGTGGGTCGGTTGCTAAGCTATAAGGCAGAGTAAGGTAGGGTACGGTAGGGTGATTATAATAATGATAATAAATTATTAATTATCATGTAATTATTATGTGCTCTTGGTTCAATGTTTAGAATTGGAGCATTCTATTTCTTGAGAGAAGTAGCTTTATAATGATGTAGAACATGCCAGAGTAGTCTACATTACCGCCTCACTAATAAATCCAAGTACCTGTTGTAATACCCCTGCGGACCCCTAGGGGTGTGCGTACCTCTGTTTGAGACCCGCTGATGTAGGGGATGAGTAATGGACTGATGCAAAGCCCTGACAGGGTTATTAAGCGGCTCATGTTTTTATATTGTTTTTATTATTAACTGCCATTGTTGAACAAAGGTGAAGATGAATCTGTGTCAAAGGGACAGTTACTGTCAGACTGTAGAATGAGGACAAATCTTATCGTCCTCTAAAATCTAAAAGTAGATTCTTGTTTGTCCGACGTTTGTTTTGGTCCAGCTCAAGGACAACGAGGTGCAAATATTTATGTCTCTTTCTGCTCCTTCTGTCATTTGTTGTTTACCGTTTCTTCAAACTCTCAGTCCACCTTTAACTGGAGGTTATGAATAAGTCTGGAAACATACTGGAGCACAGGGACTGGCCTCCTGCTGGGACTGAGGAGCACAGGGACTGGACTCCTGCTGGGACTCTGAGGAGCACAGGGACTGGACTCCTGCTGGGACTCTGAGGAGCACAGGGACTGGACTCCTGCTGGGACTCTGAGGAGCACAGGGACTGGACTCCTGCTGGGACTCTGAGGAGCACAGGGACTGGACTCCTGCTGGGACTCTGAGGAGCACAGGGACTGGCCTGCCTCCTGCTGGGACTCTGAGGAGCACAGGGACTGGCCTCCTGCTGGGACTCTGAGGAGCACAGGGACTGGCCTCCTGCTGGGACTCTGAGGAGCACAGGGGACTGGCCCCCTGCTGGGACTCTGAGGAGCACAGGGACTGGCCTCCTGCTGGGACTCTGAGGAGCACAGGGACTGGCCTCCTGCTGGGACTCTGAGGAGCACAGGGACTGGCCTCCTGCTGGGACTCTGAGGAGCACAGGGACTGGCCTCCTGCAGGGACTCTGAGGAGCACAGGGACTGGCCTCCTGCTGGGACTCTGAGGAGCACAGGGACTGGCCTCCTGCTGGGACTCTGAGGAGCACAGGGACTATCGTTTCTGTTCTCTAACGTCTGCGCAGCCTTCGTCTAAACGGGCCTGAGTCTGATTAAAGAACTGTTTATTTCCTCATTCCAAAAGGAGACATTTATGAATCTTTTTAAAAACAAGATCATATTTTTTTGTCCCTTTGAAGAATCTGGTTTAAGGCTCAGTCAGAATGGGCTCAGATTAAGAAACATTTTGCCAAATTTGGCAATTTTTGACTTATTTTCCATCCCTTTTGCAGTGTTGCCGGCATTGTACACAACAGGACGCCACAGACGAGAACTTTGTTATTGGGTGGATACGTTTTGAAAAAGTAAAAACTAGATTCAAAAGCATCCATAAAATACTTCATACTCGCTTCACCACAGACGTGTTCTGCAGACGATATTCATTCTAGTTCATGAAATGTAAATAATCTCTTCATGGTCAGTAATAATACATGTCTTCTTTCAAATGGATTCTTTGTTGAGGCTGCCCTCAGCTGCAGAGACCGAGGACATTAATTTCCCTCAGGAATAATATGAAGCTAGATTATAGTTAATATTAATTACTGTTCCATTGTTGATCAGGAAAACAGATAAAAAGGTCTTACATTTCACTGATTTCTTACTCTCTGCTTTGGTCCATGAGACGTTTGTTTTGAAGCACGTGTATAAGTACACACTATAAAGATAAAAGGATTCTGTTCAGGATCGCAATATTTTAAACACAAAGTTCAGTCGAGCATTTAATAATGATCAGTTTCACTTTTGTGTTTTCTCAGTTTTCTGCTCATTTCCATCTCAGGTTCATGAGACTCTGGCGTCTGCTCGTTGTGACTTTCCACCTTCAGTAAGCACCATTTAAATTTACTTTCCCACAATCAAGAGTCATTTGGCCAAACATTTCTCAAAGCAATGAGTTACAAAGAGTTTGGCAACAAAGTGGCACTAACTGGAAAAAATATAAAGAAATCCAATAATGACTGACATGGGTCAAAGTAAAGCTACTGTGAGATAAACATGACTTTCCCGATCAGGAACTGGAGAAAGACTCTGGTCCGTCCCAAATCTTGAGTTGCCGCGGGCGACAGACGTTAATGTGGAGTCTGAGAAGTGTTTTGTATTCATGGATTCAAATACAAACCTGCTTCCTCCACATCTGTAGAGCCGCCATATTCATCATCGTCGTCTTTCTGTGGCGTCTTTCTGGGGGTGACCTGCTTCTTCTGTGGACAGAACCAAAAAACACCCAGAAGGTTTATAAATGAGAAGATTATTTATGTCTGCACTAACAGCTGTGTACCTTTGTGTTCACTTCCTCATCGCTCTGGTCGTCAGCCTCAGTCCCACTCTCAGAACTGGACTCGCCGCCGTCCATCAGGTACCTGAGGGACCGCAGAGAGGATATTACACAGACCAGGCGCCCCATGAAGACGAAACATCCCACACTACGGTATTCAAAGGCTCCTAAGGTTTTATGTCTGTTCAAAGACTGTCTTCAACTTCAAGTACAGCAAATATTTACAAATTTATAGAGAAAGAGACGAGATATTTGACTAAGTGGGAAGTGAGTTATGTCTTTGCCAGAAATAACAAGAAAAATCACATTTAGGTCTGAGGAAGTTTGAGAAATTAGTTTTAAAAAACATGTCAAGTTAGACCTCGAGTCAAACCAGAGAGAGACCAGAGAGAGAGACCAGAGAGAGAGAGACCAGAGAGAGAGACCAGAGAGAGAGAGACCAGAGAGAGAGAGACCAGGGAGACAGAGACCACAGAGAGAGACCAGAGAGAGAGAGACCAGAGAGAGAGAGACCAGAGAGAGAGAGACCAGAGAGAGAGAGACCAGAGAGAGAGAGACCAGGGAGACAGAGACCACAGAGAGAGACCAGAGAGAGAGAGACCAGAGAGAGAGAGACCAGGGAGACAGAGACCACAGAGAGAGACCAGAGAGAGAGAGACCAGAGAGAGACCAGAGAGAGAGAGACCAGAGAGAGAGAGACCAGAGAGAGAGAGACCAGGGAGACAGAGACCACAGAGAGAGACCAGAGAGAGAGAGACCAGAGAGAGAGAGACCAGGGAGACAGAGACCACAGAGAAAGACCACAGAGAGAGACCAGAGAGAGAGAGACCAGAGAGAGACCAGAGAGAGAGAGACCAGAGAGAGAGAGACCAGAGAGAGAGAGACCAGAGAGAGAGAGACCAGAGAGAGAGAGACCAGAGAGAGAGAGACCAGAGAGGCGGCACGGTGGCTGAGTGGATAGCACTCTCGCCTCTCAGCAAGAAGGTCCTGGGTTCGAATCCCGGTCGGACCAGGGCCTTTCTGAGTGGAGTTTGCATGTTCTCCCCGTGTCTGCGTAGGTTTCCTCCGGGTACTCCGGTTTCCCCTACCACTAAAAATATGTCCAATAGTTCTAGCATGCGCCTCCTGTACTGGCCCCTCTCCCACTCTCTGTGTGGAGTGAGAGACAAATGCCCAAAAATTAACAATTGTAAACCGCTTTGAGACTCAGATCTGCAGTGAAAAGGCGGTATATAAATAAAGATTACTTACTTACTTACTAGAGAGAGACCAGAGAGAGAGACCAGGGAGAGAGACCAGAGAGAGAGACCAGAGAGAGAGACCAGAGAGAGAGACCAGAGAGAGAGACCAGAGAGAGAGACCAGAGAGAGAGACCAGAGAGAGAGACCAGAGAGAGAGACCAGAGAGAGAGACCAGAGAGAGAGACCAGAGAGAGAGAGAGACCAGAGAGAGAGAGACCAGAGAGACCGAGACCAGAGAGAGAGACCAGGGAGAGAGACCAGGGAGAGAGACCAGGGAGAGAGACCAGGGAGAGAGACCAGAGAGAGAGACCAGAGAGAGAGACCAGAGAGAGAGACCAGAGAGAGAGACCAGAGAGAGAGACCAGAGAGAGAGACCAGAGAGAGAGAGACCAGAGAGACCGAGACCAGAGAGACCGATACCAGAGAGACCGATACCAGAGAGAGAGACCAGGGAGAGAGACCAGGGAGAGAGACCAGGGAGAGAGACCAGGGAGAGAGACCAGGGAGAGAGACCAGAGAGAGAGACCAGAGAGAGAGACCAGGGAGAGAGACGAGAGAGAGACGAGAGAGAGACCAGAGAGAGAGACCAGAGAGAGACCAGGGAGAGAGACCAGGGAGAGACACCAGAGAGAAAGACGAGAGAGACACCAGAGAGAGACCAGAGAGAGAGACCAGAGAGAGAGACCAGAGAGAGAGAGAATAAACATAGTTAAAATTGCAAACCCAAATAGTCTGCAGAACTGAGACTGTTAAAGTGAGGGACCACTGTACATCATTTAAAAGCCACATTTTAAATTCAGAAAACAACAAAACGTTATAATTTATATTTATATATAACCAAGTAAACTAGTAAAAGGTGGTACGGTCCATGTCCGTCACAGTTTCAGGTTTAGTCCAAGCATGCACTGGATTTGTTCAATACAGTCAAAGCTAAAATGAGGTCAAAATGAGTTACACACCATAAAGAAAGACCTTGTTTTTACAGCGAGGAGGACTCTGGGAACCACAGGCTGGGAACCACAGGCTGGGAACCACAGGCTGGGAACCACAGGCTGAGAACCACAGGCTGAGAACCACAGGCTGGGAACCACAGGCTGGGAACCACAGGCTGGGAACCACAGGCTGGGAACCACAGGCTGGGAACCACAGGCTGGGAACCACAGGCTGGGAACCACAGGCTGGGAACCACGGTGCAAGAAACTCATCAATAACTAAAATGATGTTTGGTGGATTCATAACGAGCCTCGTTAGTATTTGCAGAACGTCTCATACAATCTAGATGCAGATGTTTCATAGCAATACATTCTTTTGTTCTTGACCCTGACCTTCTCTGAAATCCATCAAAACGACCACATTAGAGGCAATAATAATAATGTTTTATGATGACAGAGAGTCAGGAATGACAGGACTATGATGCAAAGGCAAAGAAGAGCAATTATCTATTTTGGAACAAAGTCAGAAGAGAAAAAAAAACCTTTTGATTTCAACAGGATTCTCAGCGTGGAATAAAACATGGAAGAGTTTAAGCTCATGAGAAGGAAGTGGAGAAGCCCAGAGAGAGAGAGCGCACAGAGAGAGAGCGCAGAGAGAGAGAGCGCACAGAGAGAGAGCGCACAGAGAGAGAGAGCGCAGAGAGAGAGCGCAGAGAGAGAGAGCGCACAGAGAGAGAGCGCAGAGAGAGAGCGCAGAGAGAGAGAGCGCACAGAGAGAGAGCGCAGAGAGAGAAGAGCGCAGAGAGAGAGAGCGCAGAGAGAGAGAGCGCACAGAGAGAGAGCGCACAGAGAGAGAGCGCACAGAGAGAGAGCGCACAGAGAGAGAGCGCACAGAGAGAGAGCGCAGAGAGAGAGCGCAGAGAGAGAGAGCGCACAGAGAGAGAGCGCAGAGAGAGAGCGCAGAGAGAGAGAGCGCACAGAGAGCGCACAGAGAGAGCGCAGAGAGAGAGAGCGCAGAGAGAGAGAGCGCAGAGAGAGAGCGCACAGAGAGAGAGCAGAGAGGGAGAGCGCACAGAGAGAGCGCACAGAGAGAGAGAGAGAGCGCAGAGAGGGAGAGCGCACAGAGAGAGAGAGCGCACAGAGAGAGAGCGCACAGAGAGAGCGCACAGAGAGAGAGCGCACAGAGAGAGAGCGCACAGAGAGAGAGCGCACAGAGAGAGAGCGCAGAGAGAGAGAGCGCAGAGAGAGAGCAGGGAGAGAGAGAGCAGGGAGAGAGGAGCGCAGAGAGAGCGCAGAGAGAGAGAGCAGGGAGAGAGAGCGCAGAGAGAGAGAGCGCAGAGAGAGAGAGCGCAGAGAGAGAGAGCGCACAGAGAGAGAGCGCACAGAGAGAGAGCGCACAGAGAGAGAGCGCACAGAGAGAGAGCGCACAGAGAGAGAGCGCGCAGAGAGAGAGAGAGAGCACAGAGAGAGAGAGCACAGAGAGAGAGAGCGCCGAGAGAGAGAGAGCGCACAGAGAGAGCGCACAGAGAGAGAGCACAGAGAGAGCGCACAGAGAGAGAGAGCGCACAGAGAGAGAGCACAGAGAGAGAGCGCACAGAGAGAGAGAGCGCAGAGAGAGAGAGAGCGCAGAGAGAGAGCGCACAGAGAGAGAGAGCACAGAGAGAGAGCACACAGAGAGAGAGAGAGAGCGCAGAGAGAGAGAGAGAGGGAGCGAGAGAGAGAGAGACAGAGAGAGAGAGAGAGCACAGAGAGAGAGAGAGAGAGAGCGCAGAGAGAGAGCGCACAGAGAGAGCGCAGAGAGAGAGCGAGCGCAGAGAGAGAGCGCAGAGAGAGAGAGCGCAGAGAGAGAGAGCACAGAGAGAGAGCACAGAGAGAGAGAGTGCAGAGAGAGAGCGCAGAGAGAGAGAGCGCAGAGAGAGCACAGAGAGAGAGCGCAGAGAGAGAGCACAGAGAGAGAGAGCGCAGAGAGAGAGAGCGCACAGAGAGAGAGCAGAGAGAGAGAGAGAGAGAGATTAGAGAGAGAGAGCAGGGAGAGAGAGCAGGGAGAGAGCAATGAGAGAGAGACCAGAGAGAGAGCAGAGAGAGAAGGGAGAGAGCAATGAGAGAGCAGAGAGAGAGCAGAGAGAGAGAGCAGGGAGAGAGAAACCAGAGAGAGAGCAGAGAGAGAGAGAGAGACCAGAGAGAGAAGGGAGAGAGCAATGAGAGAGCAGAGAGAGAGCAGTGGAGGTGGCCAATGAGAAAGGAAAGCTGTGAGAGGCCTGTAGGGCCGTTTGTCCTCTGCATTTGACCCGTTCATCATTCCCTCTGGGCCACTCTCAGGGTCAGAGGTCGCTGTGGCAGAGCGCCCGGATGCTCTTGTAGTAAATACTCTTTAACTATTCAATGTTAATGCAGATGTAAGTTATTAGGTTCTGTTGTTATGTATTATTTACTTTAATCAAACCACACAAAACACAACTGTGTCCATGATCGCTGAGAAAAAGTCCACAACAGAAACCGGAGCACGTGGAGGAAACCTACGCAGACACAGGGAGAACATGCAAACCCTGTTCAGAAAAAGACCTCCTGCTGATGAACTGGACTGAGACCTCCTGCTGATGAACTGGACTGAGACCTCCTGCTGATGAACTGGACTGAGACCTCCTGCTGATGAACTGGACTGAGACCTCCTGCTGATGAACTAGGCTGAGACCTCCTGCTGATGAACTGGACTGAGACCTCCTGCTGATGAACTAGGCTGAGACCTCCTGCTGATGAACTGGACTGAGACCTCCTGCTGATGAACTAGGCTGAGACCTCCTGCTGATGAACTAGGCTGAGACCTCCTGCTGATGAACTAGGCTGAGACCTCCTGCTGATGAACTAGGCTGAGACCTCCTGCTGATGAACTAGGCTGAGACCTCCTGCTGATG